AGGGGGCGGGGCTTCGTCATGTGCCCCCCCGTACCTCACCCGGGGGAACTGCAATTCCCCACGATCCCCCCCGAAATGACCTCTGTCTGATCATAAATTATAAGTCAGCAGGGGTAGAGTTTTTCATGACGACGACCATGATGAGTTCTATTTTTGTACACCATACTCTTCTTCATTATTTACGTCATTCCATTAGAATGATAATAACTTGTTCGATTGTCTGTGATAATAATCTTGAAGTAGTTATCATTTATATGAGGAAAAGTAAATATGGAATGGCATGACCAGGCATATATGAAGGGATTATTTCTGAATTTGTTATATGACCTGTTTTGAAATATGTATACTCCAAAAAAATAAAATGCACTGAAACGTGATGTCCCTGCAGAATATCACGGTGTGAGGTGATAAGGTGATACATAAGGGGTTGAATTGCAGTTCAATATATGTACAAGCTAATTTTAACTCTCAGAGCTAGATCTGGCAAACTCTTTGAGTAAGCATGACGATTCCACTGTTTTCTGAATCCTCATACTGCCCCTTTCTTCTCTCAGAGTTCATTTTACGCTGGAAAATGAACACTCTTACCAGTCACTGAATCATGACCTCATCCTTAGTATTTCATGAAACACATCTTGTAAGTTAAAATAATGTGCCTCTTCAGTGTAATGATAAATGATTTCATTTCAGCTTCACAATGACGTGCCTTGTAATTTAGTGCCCAGGACAGAAGCAGAGAATGATAGAACTTCTGCAGAAAAAAATGAAAACTATAAGCCCATTATCCAGCAAGATTTTCCATAGTTTAGTTGGGGTAGGAATTGATAATGAGATCTTCAATTTTGTTTTCTGCTATGTTTTTGCTAAAGAGATTTGAAACGAAGGAATTTATAAGGTCTTCTTTATCAACAGAGCAAGGCATATTAGAACTTCTGTGATGTGGAGGAAAAGGTAGAATGTTAATAAAAATAAAGATAGAGATTATTTCTTTTCATTTGTCTCCAATGTGCAGGTACATGTTTGTTTCTTTTTATTATTTTTAGGCTGCTATTTTTTAAAAAGTTTTTTCAGTTCTTATTGTTTTGTATCTTTGATTTGTGAGCTGTTCCAGGAATCTTTTTAGGCTAACAGTTGTAGGATATACATTAATAAATAAATCAGTAATGAACTAAAGGCAAATATCTACAACTCTGTATGGAGTTCATAAATAAAAATAGAGGATTCCTAATTGATCAGTTTTGCTTCAATGACAAGATCAGGCAGTTTGGAACTTCAGATTCTGGGAAGAAATTTATTTAAAGAGAATCTGTAAGCATTTCTAGGAACCAAAGGTTGTTTGTGCAATATGAAATCTTGTATTTAGTGAGATAATTAAAGGTGATTAGCAATACTTAAGAGATTTCTTATAAGTCTCATGGGAAGCAAAAGAAAATTTAACTACTTAATGCCAGTTCCATTCAAAATCTTTTAATGATTTTTTTAAAAATGTTGTTATAACATTCAGACTGATTCCCCCCCCCCCAATACTTTAAATGTTTTGGGTTCCATTAGAGGTCTATTTGAGGTGTCGAGGTGTCAGATTGATTTTTATGATCTTTTACATGAACGGGCTGTTTTATTCTGTGCCATTTTAAAGTGATTTTTAATGAAGGCTGCTACATTTGAGCTTTGACTGTCTTTGTGTATCAGTTGCTTTTGGTATTTATTTTAAATTTCCATTATTTAGTTGTCTATGTTTTGATGATTTATTCTAAGCTGCTTTTGAGTGGTCCTTTGAAGACTGATTCCAGATGGGTAACCACGTTAAGTCTGTAGCAGCAAAATGAAACAAAAGTTCAGCGGCACTTTAGGGATGAACAAAATGTATTTCAGTATAAGCTTTTGTGAATCGGCCATCGGATACAGTGAGCTCTAACTAACAAAAGTGTATACTGGAACACATATTGTTTGTCTTCAAGGTGCCACTAGACACCTGCTTTAATCAAGATCTAAATAAAACAGAATAAATAAGATCAAAATGAAACAGTGGTAAGGGCTAACAACTAAGGGTGTACACAAAAAATCTGTATTTTTCAGGTTTATGTATACAAAACCCGAAAAATATTGGTATATATCAAATTTATTTGGCAAAGCTCCCTTTACACGGCAAGAAGCCATTAAACCCCTTCATTTTTCTCCCCCAGCTCCAGAACAGAGGGAGCGAAAGGGAGCACTGGAATGGCTTCCTCCCATTTAAACCAAACAGTGTGATGGGTCCGCCTGTCAGCTGATCAGTTTAAATGCCTTACCTTCACTTACTGAGGCATGCCGCTGCCACCATGGTGCGACTCAGGGAGGGAAGCCATGCTGCAGCAGTGGCATGCCTCAGCGAGTGAAAGGAAGGCATTTAAGGGAGGGTGTTAAATACTGGGTTCATGACGCATTACAGTGAACAGCTCTACTTTATTTACTGATTTCAGGAACAAGACTGGCTTACTAGGGCAACAGCCCTGTTTAAATAACATGCAAAACCCACACCCCAAAACACCCCACTCCCAATGATAGGCTATTTAACAGGGCTCTTTTTGTAGCAGGAACTCCTTTGCATATTAAGCGACACACCCCTAATGTAGCCAATCCTCCAAGAGCTTACAGTAGCTCCTGTAAGAAGAGGTCTGTAAGCTCTTGGAGGATTGGCTACATTAGGGGTGTGTGGCCTAATATGCAAAGGAGTTCCTGCTACAAAAAGAGCCTTTCTCGTTGGTCACTTCCAGAGTCCTGGTGGGCTATTGTTCTTGAGCTCCAAGCTCAGCCAGTCTCTGGTAGATAGTCCTGGAATGTTCCAGGCCTAATACATAACAGAGGGAAGGGAAGAAGAGACCACGGTCTCTTTGGAAAATTCCCTTCACTTGCTGAGGCATGTTGTTGCTGACGCAGAACTCGGGGAGGGAAGGGAAGGTATTTAAACCTTTTTCTCTCGAGTCATGCCGCAATGGCAGCACACCTCAATGAGTGAAAGAAAGGTATTTAAATTAAAATTCCCTCACTGAGGCATGCTGCCACCACTGCAGCACAACCCGAGGAGGGAAGGGAAGGTATTTAAAGTCTCTTTAAATACTTTCCCTTCCTTTCTTGTGTTGTGCCACGGTGGCAGCATGCCCCAGCAAGTGAAAGGAAGGCATTTAAAGAGACTGTGGTGTCTTTAAATGCCTTCCCTTCACTCACTGAGGTGTGCTGCAGTGCGGCATGACTTGGGGAGGGAAGGGATTTAAAGATTAAATGCTTGACTTGCAGAGTTGCGCTGCAGCAGTGGCTTGACTCTGTGAGTCACATAGGCAGCTTGACTTTGCAAAAGCCATTTAAAGGGAAATGTCGCTTTAAATGGCTTTTGCAAAGCCAAGTTGTGCATGAATAACCTGGAAGCAGCATGAGTTCACCCGGAAGGTGGGTGAACTCGTGCTGCTTTGGCTAGTGAAGGTGAGCCCGAATAAAAGCCAATTAATATTGGCTTTTATTCAGGCTCAGCTAGATCAGTAGCTGAATCATATTAGAAAATCTGATTGGCTGAATAAATACCCCCCTATTACCAATAAAATTTTGGGG